ATATATATATATATACACACACACATACATATACATATATACATATATATATACACACACACATATACACACACACACACATACATATAGTGAAATGACTCATAGCTCACCCTCCATCAAGTTTTCACAGTTACTTACAGGGGAGGAGATTGTCCATTCTTCTCTCATGGAGCAGTTGGTAGATTTGATGATTGTGCCTTTGAGATTGCAGCACAGACTCTTACCACTAGGTCACAAGGAAGTGGAATATATCTATCTCTATCTCTCTACTACTAAATTTGTTTGCTTGTTTATTCTTGTTTATTCCAGCTCTGAACATTGGCAGCTGTTTCAATCATTTCATGCATCTTTCACCATTGTTGAGTTGTTTTCATTGAGGACTTCATTATTTTCTGGTAGTATAAGATATTGTAGACTTATATTGCACTTTTTCCTGCTCCAACCCTTAAATGATTCATCTTTCCAAAATATTCTTGTTCCTTTTAAAGGAGTTGTTGTTGTTGTCGTTGTTGCTATGCACCATCGAGTGTCTTGTGACTCATAGCGACCCTATGTACAACAGCCCTAAACTCTGCTCTGTCCTGTGCCAATCGCACTTTAAAGAAGTATAGTATTAAAAAACCAAAAGATGAGTACTAGATTTGTTCATTGTTATGAGGGCTTCTAGTTCCTCTCAATCAATTGAGGAAGAAAAGATATATTTGGACAGTAAATTCATTTTTACCAAGCTAGAACTGACTCATAACTGATCCACCAGTTTCTGAAGCTGTGAATAGCACAGGTGAGACTCCCTAATTTTCTCTCGATAAGTCGCTGGTGGTTTTGAATCAGCGGAACTGTTGTTCTTGCTTTCTGAGCTTTATCCATGGGCAAATGCTACCCATTGAATTTTGTATGATTGATTTTTCCAAGGAGTGAGTACCTCCCTGAGTTACGATGCACCTTTCAGGTACCTCTATTATTGATCCTTGGAGTTGAGTTTGTTTACTTCTAAGATTGAATAATGATTAAAGTTCATAGTCGTGGTTGGATTTTCTCTGTTTTTTAACGTATAATGAATTTTAGTAATGCCTACGGCTATGTACCCACAACTACAGTTGTTGTTGATTGCCATCAAGTCAAGCACAACTCAGAGCGACCCTATGAACAAAAGACCTGAAGCCTTTCTATAACTATCGTCATTTCTCAAAGTTCATAGAGTTTCCAGAGGCGTGATGTTTAGGAAGTGAATGCCATTTCTGCAATTACAATTACAGTCTTACCATTTGGATGCCATCCTTACAAAACTTCTGGTAATCACTGATCTTTTTATTGTCCTTATGACCAGAATGCCATCTATCTGGAGTAATCTAGGATGCAGTCTTTTTAGATTGAACTATTTTTTTTTTTTACTTTTAAATGAGTACTTAAGACCCATATCTAACATTTTGAGAATTAAGAACTTATTTTCTTCTAATGGCACATATTGTTCCGTTGTATACGATACGATTTCTTTAACCATTCACCAGTTGAACAGCAAAATGACTATTTCACCTGTTTAGAAGTTAGAAACACAGCTGCTATATACTTGAAAGTCAGAAATTTGTAGGCAGTTTTAATTTTATTTGAGTAAATACCAAGCAGCACAATAGATCATATGATAAGGTTTAACTTTTTGGAAAAACTGTCTTCCAAAATGTTAC